GAACAAACGCAGGGAATATCTACACACTGGAAAAGGCAAGGAAACGATTCTCCCCCAGAGCCTCCAGGAGGAACACAGCCCTGCTGACACCTTGACGTTGGCCCACTAACACCCATTCTGGACTTCTGACCTCCAGAACTATAAGATGATGAATTTATGTTTTGAGTCACTAGTTTGTGGTAACTCATTACACTAGCAATAGGAAATTAATACGCATTTGGTTACAGGAAAGACCCCTTTGAGGTGAACCCTACAGGGAGGCAAGGACTAGTCCCGTAAGAGCAGCAGAGAGGGGCTGAGAAGAAGCTGCACCTGCCTCTCATTCCCACCACCAGAGTCCCACGGGCCCCATGCCTGCCCATCTCTCGCTATCGTTCCACACCTCGCTGGCCTCAGGTTCCTGTTCTACCCACCTTCGGCTCCTTCTTTATGAAAAGAAAATCCATCAGTTAACTGAGCAATGTAACTGAAAAGCACCCCGAAACGATATACACCAACCCATGGCAAGTAGAGCGCCCAGGACAGGAGGAACTTGCTGTGCCCCTTCTAGGGCTTCCAACAAGCTTCTTGTCTGCTGCAGCCCAAGGAAGGCAAACACAACACAGTCGGGATTTCTTGGCACTCGGCCTAAAGCTCCCAGAGGGAAAGCACGTGGAGGGCACGTGGGAGCGTCCCTGACTGGGTCATCTCAAAGACAGTCTCCTTGCTGCTTAGACTTACTGAAGCCAAAGGGCAGTGAGCACCCTTCCTTCTCGCCCAGCGTGGAAATTTTAAGAGTTTCAAAAGCCATGCTGATATCTGTTAGGATGTACAAAATCTCCAGGCGGGAATCAACTAGTTGTACCGATCAGGACACCACGGAATCTTTGGTGCAAAACTTTTGGCATTTGCTGGGACTCGAGGAAAACAAGACCCAACTGTTTCCATTCTAAGCTGATTATGTGCCCTCTTTGCTTTATTCAATGTAAGTGATCGACGAAGGGCTCACAGATTTTGCACAGTGGCAGAAGGCAGAAATGGAATCTACAAATACCAGAGAAGACCAAGAAGCCCCATTTTGCAGACCTGGGAACACCCTGGAGCCGGAAACATCAGACAGCACCCCGATGGCAGAATCAGGATGGAAAATACAGAGTCCAAGCCGACAAGCTAGAATTTAATATGGAAAAACGGGATGCCTATTTTTTTTTTTCAGGGCCAAAAGTTCGACTACACTTGGGCAGTCCCTCCTCAATGTGTCTACAAGCAAACCTTACACCTGAAAGTCTTCCCTTGAAAGAAGAGGGGGCAGCCAAATTTCCTAAAACCTAGCATGGAAAAACAACTCAGAAGATGTCAGTCTCCCTCTGGATTCACAGCTAGGGGAGGCAGGCGGACTGTTCCATATAGTGAAACAGACAATTACCACGTCACAGCCTCAGACAAAAGAAGGATAAACAATCTCCTAAAGCCTTGCTCAGTTTGTTTCTCCAAACTCTACCAACATGCCCCTGGGGGTCTGTGAAATGGCATCCCCTTCAGCATGGCCACAACTGAATGAATGCCTCCCAGATTCAGAAGCCCATGAGATTATGAGTCAGAAATCTGAACAAAGTGGAAATCCTCAAATAGATGGTGGTATATCCATGCTCTAATCCCTGGAACTTGTGAATGTTACTTCTATGGACCAAAAAAAAGGGAGGGAGGAGCGTGTGTGGGGGGGTTCCCTTTATAGATGTAATTAAGATTTTTTTTTTTTAAAGACCCTACCCATTCATTTTGACAGAGAGAGACAGCAAGAGAGAGGGAACACAAGTGGGTGGAGTGGGAGAGGGAGAAGCAGGCTTCCCGCGGAGCAGGGAGCCCGACGCAGGGCTCGATCCCAGGACCCTGGGACCATGACCTGAGCCGAAGGCAGACGCTTAAGGACTGAGCCACCCAGGCACCCTGATGTAATTAAGGATTTTAAAATGGGAAGAGTATCCTGGATTATCCAGCTGGGCCCTAAATGCAGTCCTGTGTATCCTTACAAGGGAGAAGGAGACGTGACCCCCTTCGTGCTGTGAAGGTAGAACAGAGACTTGCAGGGAACACCAGGACCCACAGGAATGGATCTCTCCCTAGAGCCCCCAGAGGGAGCACAGCCCTGGGCCCCAGGACTGCGAGACAGTCACAGGAACTAATGCACAGTTCCATATTAACTTTCCCTGCCTCCCTCCCTCAGCCACAGCACACAGAAGGACCTATTCTGTGCTAGGGACTGTGAGGGCTACAGAAGACAAAGCAGAGGGCCTGGCCTTTACGACCCACCATTCAGCGGCACAGCTAACTGGGCCACACACAGGCTGGGCCATGGGGTGTAACAAAGCCAAGTATCAAGCATCCCCCCGGGGAGGGCCAAACTGGAAGGCTTCCCGGAGCAGGTGATATTTCCACGTAGCCTGAAGGGTAAAGCTGGATCCCAACAGACAGGGGAAGGAAGTAGCAGAAACCAAGGGCACAGATGGGAGTTACACTGATGGATGCGCCTGTGAAGTGTGCGAGGAACCAGTGGGCGGCCACGGGGAGGGACGAGCTGGGCGAGCTGGCCAGAAAGGCAGGTTGAGGCCAGATTAGGTGGCCCAAGACCCGCCATGCCGTAAGGGGGCCCCCTGTGCTGTGTGCCAGTCCTGAGGGAGTTCAGCGAAGACCGTGCCTGTGGGTCAGCACTGCCCCCATGAAGCCATTCCAAAAATAGGTTTGATGATCATGTTGGAAACAGAATCCCAAAGATGTGACACAGTTTGGACACTAAGGAACAGGAACCCCTGAGCATGGGGTCCCAGCCCTGACACTGGGTCTGGAAGGGAATGAGTCGCAGGGGTGTATGAGAAGAGAAAGCAAACGGAGAAGAAAGGGAGAGAGTGGGAGGCAGACCTGGGCTCCCCACCAAGATGCTTGTGTTCCTCCCTCCACATGGCGTACCGTCCCTCTGTGCCAGGGGACTGACTGATCATGCCCCATGCTAGGACTGGTCCCGCCGCTGGTTTGGTCAGACTGGACCTTTGTTCAGGCCTGTGATTCCTGCGGCTGCTGTTAATGGGCGAGGAACCGTCGTTGGTTCCCACTGGGGTGTCTGCCAGGCCCACGGCCATTTGTATCTTGAGCCTAGTAATTAGGCCTGGAGAAATCACGGGGGCCGGGGCAGACTCTGTTTGGATAAACTCAAGAAAGCTCAGCTGCTTCTCAAGACTTGGCCTCTTTGGGGTCTGCGGTGGGGAGACGGCGGGGCCAGCTGGTGGCCTCAGCCTTACCGGACAGTGTGCCCTTGGGAGAGGGCCTGGGGCAGCTGCCTGGGCCCCTGCCATCCGGCAGAAGCTTGTGTTGATGGAATGAGAGCACACAGAGGCAGCGGAGTACGGAGGAAGGAGCCCGAACTGCTGGGCAAAGCCCCAGACTCAAGCCCTGCCCCCTGCAGGCTGGGCAGCCTTGGGCGATTCCCCAACTGCTCTGAGTTTCAGCTTCCCCTTTTGGAAAATGGGGATTTGATTCCTACCCAGCCCACCTCACAGGGTTGGAACTATAAAGGGCTCCCGGGAAAGCACTTTGCCTTTTATAAAGTGCTACGGAAGCGTGAGGGGCCGTGAGTGGGCAGGACTTGGGCTCCATCTCCTGAGAGTAGGGGCGGGAAGGAGTCTGGGTCCCCCCACCTCTGTTGGCCTTGTGCACAGTATTTCCCGACGCTCTGCCATGAGCCCATCCCCCCCAGCAGAGAGGCAAAGGCTCTTTGCAGGTGTGAACCTGGCAGGCCTCCCTGGCCCTGGCGAGGCCCAGGGCATGAGTACACACAGAGGCCATTTCCCATATGTCTCATATTTAAAAGTCATAAATCAAGCTAACAAACCGTTAAATGAAATATGCTCTGTCCTCCTACCTTGTTAAATACATCTTTGTTAACAACCGGGAAGGCCAGGAGTGAATTTAGAATTCTGGGACTCCTTGGCATCTGTGCCAGGACCTGGCTGCGTGGGGAAAGCCCAGCCAGGCTAGGATTCGCCCTGCGTCCCTTCCCGCCCCTGGCTTGGCTCATCATTCTGTGGGGCCTCACACGGACGTGGGAACACCCCATCTCACGTTCGGTTCTGCCCATCCCCCACCAGTCCTCAGCCTGGGGTGCCACGCCCATGACACGGACTGCAGAGGAGGCTGGCAGAGGCATGTGGTTACTTAGGCAGGACCCCTAGGGTGGGCTAGAAAGAGGGGCTCGGGCACCAGGTAAATGACTCAGAACAAGAAACAATACTAACCCTTAAAAGAATAAAAGAAGTGTAACCACATCCAACCCAGTCCTGATTTTCCCCCTGATTTTTTTAAACATCTTTCAAAAAATGATACTTTGGGTTTCCTGCTATGCTCATGCCCTGAGGACACAGCCAGCCAGCACCAGGATGATGTGATGTCTTTCCCCACCCGATCCTACAGTGGAAGGAACAGGGCGGCCTCCTTTCTAAATGTCTTTAAAGAAACAGACCCATCGCTGGCGCGAGGGGATAAGGTTTCCTTCCGTGGCCACGGGGTATTCAGCTCCAATCAAGTCACCAACCCACCTGCCAACATCCTCTCTGTCCTGAGCACATGGTCCTCAACCCCAAGGAGTAAGGCTGCTGAGAGCCCCTGGGGGTCGGGGAGGGAAGCCTCCTGGTATTCACCTCGCACAAACTGCGTGGGGGAGGATGGAGGAGGACCCCAACTGAGCACTGGCTGGGCAACCTTTGGCCAGGTTCCGCACCCCTCTGTGTTCAGACTATCTGTGTGGCCACCAAGGGGCTGTTTGAGTGACAGTCCCCACCCCCTTCCCGAGTTCACTGCCGGCCCCACTGAAGGCCCAGCTGCAGAGAGAGAGGCTGAGAGTGCAGACCTCTGCCTGATTTATTCAGGTCCGCTTCTCAGAAGCGTAGAGGTCACCCGGGCTGTTTGGGGGGAAGCCCCCCCCGAAACCCCGTCCGCTGCCTGCTGTGGAGACGCCAACAGCGCAAACTCACCAGGCACCATCCCTGTCAGCGTCGGTGCCGAGTAGCTGCCCTGTCCGGCAGGGGGGACGTGCGGAGGGTACCCGGGGAGGGTCGTGCTCGCCAAGTCACGGCCTGAGGAATCAAAGCAACAAATCACGGGGTGAGTGTCTCCGTGGCCAGCGCTCATGTCCACAGCTCCCGGGACATCTGCACATTTGTCACGTCTGGGCGCTGAGCGCCAGGGTGCCCCCGCCCCCCGCCCGTCACTCACGCATGCAGACACGTGCGCACGCGCGCACACACACACAGCCCTCCGGCCACCCTGGCTCCACTCAGCAGGGACCCGGGACAGCTCTGCTGCTTCCCTGGGAAAACGGAGCTCCGGCCAGCTCACCCCGCGAGAGCTGAAGGGGGACTTGGACTTCTCCCCGTCCACACCTTTGCTTCTGCCGCGCCTCTGCGCCACGCACCCTCTCCTCCAGCTGCAGGCAGCCCAACACCACGCGCCCGCGAAGGCCTGCTCCAACACCTCCCTCCTCCTCCTCCTCCTCAGACCCTCAGCTGTGGGTCTGGTCCTTATTCAGTCCTTCCTCCTTTGCCCTAGCTCGCCATTCACTCGACAAAGGTGCAGGAAGTGTACCTCCTCACACCTGACACTGTTCTGGGCACTGGGACGTGGAGATTAAGGCCTCGGCCATTGGGGGGCAGACATTCTGGTGGGTATGTGTTCACCTCTTTGCAGGCTGCCGGCTCCTGGAGGGCAGGGGGGACACCTCATTCATCCACCACAGGGCTTGGCACCTGGTAGGTCCCGAGTAAGGGCAGAACGAATGGGGTGTCCAAGCATGCTGGGTTTCATGCTGTGTGGAAGAAAGCCCAGGTAGCAGAACTCTGTAAGGGAGATGGCACTGAGCTTTGGCCGCCTCTTAGGGATAAAGCAGAGCTCCGGCCCTTTCAAGCACCACCAGTTATGTGTATGTAACAGGGTGTTCGGGGCTCAGGAACCCAGATCTTGGGCAATCCGACTGTTCAGTGATTAGGTGGTGGGCCCTGAGGACAAGACCCCGCCCTACGGGTGGGATTGCCAATTGCTCCTGGAAGAAGGAGATACACCTGCTTCAGCCATCCTGGGAGGCAGGAGGGAAATGAGGTGGCCTTAGGACAAGGGAGGGAAAGTGGAACCTTGACCTCCTCTGATTATGGACACTGGAGACTGGGTGGGGGCAGCTCCTGACCATGAAGAGCCAGGCCAAGTCCCAGGAAGGACTCCTGGAGCCCAGCGACTTGGTGCAGGCCCTACCACAGGTAGATGACTCTGAGCTCAGCCCATTAGCAGGTGGCCCAAGGAGAGAGACCACCTCTGATCAACACTCCCCAAAGAATCCAAGCCAGCACACGGTATGGGCCGTGAACGTTCCCCAGATAAACCAACAGCCTTTCTAGTGCCAGTCCTTCAAAGACTGTCCAGCCAACAGCCAAAGGCTGCCTCATTTCACAGGGTTCTGCTTACCTTCCAGAACCTTATGGAACAGAAGGCATGTGGCCTCCCCTGACCTTGCTCACCACCTCCCTGCCTTTAGACTGGGCATCCCAGCTTGCAACAAGCATTGCTCGTGTGTCTTCACATGGGGCATTGGAAGGGGAGCAAATGAACTACCTCTGAGCCCCCACAAGAGCTGACATTAAACAAAAAACTGGAATCGGTGGAACTGACCAATTCTAATAAAGGTCATTTAAGGAGGTTTTCTCCCCAGCCCTTGTATGCCTCCCTCTCTCATCCTCCTCTGACCCCGCGCTTATAGCCCCCTAGGGCAGCTCCTGTCTCCAGGGTCACGTCTTTGCACCCAACGTCAGAATGGCAGAGGCCTGCAGATCTTTGTTAAGTGAATGAAAGAAGTGGTTCCAACAGGGCCCCTGATCTCTCGGGAGCTCATAAAATTCCCTCCACTCGTGGTCAAGAATCAGTGAAGGGAGGGCCCTTGAAGCTTTTCTGGACCAGCCCTGTCGCCATTCTGCAGATGGCAAAGCTGAGACCCATGGTGGGTGGGGAGCAACGAGCTCGGGTTTCCTAACATCAGCCCAGGACCCTCCTCTGCCTCAAGCAGCATCCTGGCGGGGGTGGGAAGAGCACTCACACCCAACACGGAGCCCTCTGCACACGGTCACAGGGATTTGGTGACCCGAGGGCTGCTGAGAAGGTATCTGAGGAAGCGGAGTGAGCCTACGTGTCAGGCTAGCTGGTACAAGATCAAAATGCCAGGGGCCAGACTGTGAGACATGCAGAGAAAGCAGTCGTGGCGGGAGCTGTTCTGATAGGCTGTGGAGCTCCAGCCCCAGCACCATCCCCAGGCTCACGCCCCTGATGAAGACGACAAACCACAAATGCAGTGACAGAGGTCACGTGTTTAGCCATTCCGCTCCACTGCCACGCACATACACCTGGCGGGGCGTCTGATGGTGAATCCAGAGGCTCTACGTCACCCAGGCTGAGCCTTGCCTTCAGGCCACACCATGACCATTGCTTATCGGCTCTGTCGTGCAGAAGAAAATTCAACTACGCAGTTTTTGTGGATATATGTGTAGGGGTAGGAGCCAGGACCACATCAGAGAGAGGCCAAATCTGCCTCCTGAAAGACAGATGGCATTATCCTGATAGGAGGCTGCCTGGTGCAGGGAGCACATGGGGGCCAAGCCTCACAAGATCCACATCTGGTTGCCTGAGATGGGAAAGAGGGTCGTGGGAAGAGAAGGGGCTTGCCCAGGGACACTCAGTCGACTGGAGGCAAGCCTGGGACTGGAATGCAGCTCTCCTGCCTCCTGGGACTGCATTCTTTCTTCAACAAGAAGCTGTGCCTTTGGTCAGAACCCCAACAGTTTCTGCCAGTGTTACATATGCTTTAAAACCTTGATCCCTTAAGCAGAAAATACAGTGCCTCACCAAAGCACCCAACTCAAGAAGCCAGATTAAAAAAGTAATAAAATGAGGTGGCTGGGTGGCTCAGCCGGTTAAGCATCCGACTCTGGATTTCGGCTCAGGTCATGATCTCAGGGTCTTGAGATCAAGCCCCACATCGGGCTCCATGCTGGCCATGGAGCCTGCCTAAGATTCTCCCTCTCCTTCTGCCCCTCCCGCCCCTCTAAAAAAAAAAGTAATAAAATGAACCTAAGGAAAGGAGGAGGAAGGAATTGATAAAGAAAAAGCAGAAGATAAAGAATTAGGAAACAGAGAAAAGCACACAGAACAATAAATGCACCCAAGAATTGTTACTGGAAAAGACCAATAAGACAGACAAACCTAGGGCAAGATCCAAAAAAGAAGACACAAATATCAAAATAAGGAATGAGGAGAAGGGGCGCCTGGGTGGCTCAGTCATTAAGCGTCTGCCTTCAGCTCAGGTCATGATCCCAGGGTCCTGGGATAGAGCCGCAATGGGCTCCCTGCTCAGCGGGAAGCCTGCTTCTCCCTCTCCCACTCCCCCTGCTTGTGTTCCCTCTCTCTCTGTGTTTCTCTCTGTCAAATAAATCAATAAAATCTTTAAAAAAATAAAAGGAATGAGGAGAAGATACAACCAGAGACATGGAAAATATATTAAAAAATGCAAAGATGCGGGCTGCCTGGGTGGCTCAGTCGGTTAAGCGTCTGCCTTCGGCTCAGATCCCGGGGTCCTGGGATTGAGCCCCGCATCGGGTTCCCTGCTCGGCGGGAAGCCTGCTTCTCCCTCTCCCACTCCCCCTGCTTGTGTTCCCTCTCTCACTGTCTCTCTCTCTCTCCATCAAATAAATAAAATCTTAAAAAAAAATTGCCAAGATGCTCTATACTAATACATATGGACATCTTAGCAAAAGGTACAATTTTCTAGGAAAACATGAATTACCAAAATTAAGTTGAGAAGGAGAAAACACAAACAGCCCAATCACTTCGGCAGAAATAGAAAAGGTTCTTTCTTAAAATAATTTTTAAAAATAAGATGTCCATTTAGTTTTCAGGCAAGTTTCATTTCTTTTTGTTTGGGGCAAGTTCTTTTAAATCTTCAAAGGACACATACTTTTGTTATTAAACTGTTCCAGGATATATAAAACTAAAGAAAATCTTCCCAATTCATTTTTTTCCAAGCTAGCATAATCCTGATATGAAAACTTAACAAAGGTGTACAAAAATGAAAATTAAAGGCTAGTGTCACAATTTATTAATATCCACGCAAAAAAAAAAAAATCTACGGTCTCACTGATCAAACAATATTAGAAAGAACAATATACCATGAACAAATAAGGTTGATTCCAGGTATGCAAGGATGATTCAGTATTAAAGCACTGGCTGGGAAATCATAGTAATGTATCAAAAGTTGAAAACCATATGATTATATCAAAGCTATGGAAAAGGCATTGGCTAAAATTCAATACTAATTCCTTACAATACCTCTTGGTAAATAAGAACTGAAGTACACTTCTTTGATCTGGTATTGATCTTAAATCTTGAGTCAACGTCATACTTAATTGGTGAAATACTTGAAACATTCTGAATTAAAATAAAAAACATGTCAAGGAAACCCGTTATCACTGAAAACTGTTCTAAAAGTTTGAGCCAGTACAAGAAGAAAAGATAAAGACCCAAGAGGGATAAACACTGGCAGTGAGGGAAATTATCATGAGCTGGGTATATCGTGAGCCTGGAAAACCAGCTCATCTACCAGAACCAGTGAAAAGGTTTGTTGAGACAGCTGGAATGGGTGTTTAGAATGAATATCGTTCTAGATTGAGCAGCTCCCCAGCGCCTCTCCCATCAAGTACAGGTTTTTCAGGTTGGCTTCCAAGCCCTCCTCAGTCTGTGCCCCTAACCTGTGAGCTTTCCAGCCTCATCAACCCTGACTAGCCCCACCCCCGGGGCCATTCCCCAAACCTGCCCTATCCTTTCCTATCCCCACGCCTTTGCTCAAGCTGTTCCCTTTCTAACTGCCCTTCTCCCATTCCTATCAGTTCCACGCTGCATCCAGTGTCCAACTTCTGCCCTCAAGAGCCTGCTCCTCTGCGAAGTGTCTTCTAGGCCCCTCAAGTCTTTGTGGCACCGGCATCTACTGCAGGTCCCTCTGCTCCCCACCCCGTCCCAGTGCATAGGGAGCATCGTGCCAGGGGAA